AACTGGATTGGAGTGGAATGACTACCAATCACTTCCTGTTTGTGCATCGGCGTCTTAAAGGAATAGTCCATTGTGGCATTAACAGAGGGGTGCCAACACTCAGGGCTAGGGGTCCCCCAACATAAGGGGGCCCCAGGCGGCCGCCAAACTATGCATAATGGTAAAACTGCCAATGTTTACCAGTGGTTTTGGCACTGTGAGCAGGTGCCAGGTCATGCTGAAAAATAAAATAATCTCCATACAGCTTTTCAGCAGATGGAAGCATGAAGTGCTGCAAAATCTCCTGATAGCTAGCTGCATTGGCCTTGCCCTTGATAAATCACAGTGGACCAACACCAGCAGCTGACATGGCACCCCAGACCATCACTGACTGTGGGTACTTGACACTGGACTTCAGACATTTTGGCATTTCCCTCTGCCCAGTCTTCCTCCAGACTCTGGCACCTTGATTTCTGAATGACATGCAAAATTTGCTTTCATCTGAAAAAAAGTATTTTGGACCACTGAGCAACAGTCCAGTGCTGCTTCTCTGTAGCCCAGGTCAGGCGCTTCTGCCGCTGTTTCTGGTTCAAAAGTGGCTTTACCTGGGGAATACGGCACCTGTAGCCCATTTCCTGCACTCACCTGTACATGGTGGCTCTGGATGTTTCTACTCCAGATTCAGTCCACTGCTTCTGCAGGTCCCCCAAGGTCTGGAATCGGTCCTGTTCCACAATCTTCCTCAGGGTCCGGTAACCTCTTCGCTGTGCAGCGTTTTCTGCCACACGTTTTCCTTCCCACAGACTTCCCACTGAGGTGCCTTGATACAGCACTCTGGGAACAGCCTATTCATTCAGAAATTTCTTTCTATGTCTTACCCTCTTGCTTGAGGGTGTCAATGATGGCCTTCTGGACAGCAGTCAGGTCGGCAGTCTTATGGGCTCGACACACGGGAGGCGACATTGCCTCTCCTCCATTCATTTTTTAATGAGACATGCGTGACAAAGCGATAATTGCGGGTCTCCCTTTTACTAAGCGAAAGGCGAAAAACGTGCGTGTGAAATTTTGCGCTTGTGCACGTGTCGTGCACAGGCGACCCAGAGACGAGATCCCAGAAAGTTGAAATATTTTCAACTTTTCATCGCTGTCGCTCGGACGAGGACCAATCAACGGAGCAGGGGATTGTCCAGGAAGCGGCCTGGGGTAGCAAATGCCACCCTTGAAATCCCAAGTGCCACCCCACCAAGTTCCATATAAATTGACTTTACATTCTCCACAAAATGCTTAGTGTTACAATACAATAGCCATAGGGGCCACTCATGCATAAACAAGTGCCCCACCTGGGCCACCCCATTTTAAAAAGCTTGGACATGCCACTGCAAAGGAGGTTTCATTCACTGACCAATGAGCGGACAGGATGCTCCGTACATCTCAAGCAAACATGGAGGAGAAGTTGATTATTATTATGTTTTTTATAGTAAAATCAGAAGTAAGATTTCACATAACTCTAACAGCACCTTGTGAAACATCATATCTACAGCTTTATTAACTCTGAACCGCTTAAATAACCTTAATTCCCTCCAACCTGACACAGCCAAACAAAACAACGGAAGTTTCAATTTCGCCATGGAACAGAACGCGTAGACGGCTTTGCCGCTGGCCACTGCTGCGGGTCGCCTCCCGTGTGTCGAGCCCCTTACCCATGATTGCGGTTTTGAGTAATGAACCAGGGTGGGAGTTTGTAAAAGCCTCAGGAATCTTTTGCAGGTGTTTAGAGTTAATTAGTTGATTCAGATGTTTCAGTTAATAGCTCGTTTAGAAAACCTTTTCATGATATGCTATTTTTTTAGATAGAAATTTTGGGTTTTCATGAGCTGTATGGCAAAATCATCAATATTAGAAACAATAAAAGGCTTGAACTACTTCAGTTGTGTGTAATGAATCTAATATATATATGAAAGTCTAATGTTTATCAGTACATTACAGACAATAATGAACTTTATTATCAGAAGGACCTGTATGTGCTGTAATCTAAAGGAGGTCCAGCGGAATATAAGAGTGTGTAACTTTTTTTGGGTAGTGTGTGCTCTGACTGACACGGCTGTAGGTTAAACGTACACATACTGTTGGAAGAGGAAGAATAACGGGAATTTTATAACTATGAAAAATTTTGAAGGGTTTTTGGGCCAATTTGAAGCGTTTATTGAGAAAAGTTATAAGTGATTAATATTACTGGTTTTAATGGTTTCAATTTGCAGAAGCAGTTTTACATCCTTTAAGACTGTTGGTTTTCAGTTTAATTTTTCACACTTATTTTTTGTGGCCATTTTAAAACAGTTTCAATCTCGAAAATGATTTGAAGTTGTAGACAAGTATTTAACCCTTTGATGCATAATGGCCACTATAGTGGACAGGTACTCAAAATTATTTATTTGTTTTTGCTATTAAGCACAGCTGTTGAAGACTTTATTGCATTTGAGCACCTCCATTTGGACTTTGGTAAGCCAAGCCAACATATTTCATGTTCAGATTGCACGCTGTCCACTGAGGTGGACATATAATTAATTATTTGTAAATTATGAAATTTTACAAAAAATCTTTGTTGAAATTTGTTTCATTCACACCTAAAGACGAATGAAAAAATTGTTTAAAAAACCATGGTTGAAGATTTCATAATTCATGCATCAAAGGGATAAGAAATGTTTACACATCCAATAAAAATGTAGCGTGGTTGTTTCAGCAGCATAATGAAAATTCTATTGGTCTTGACCCTGGATGTCCCAGAAGTGCTATATTTTGTTGCTGGTGGTGGTATTTATATTTGTGTAACTGATGACTGGGTGAAGATAAATGAAATAACCACAAGAAATGTTTACAAAACTTGAAGATTGTTGCTCTCCTAAGACAGCAGCAAAACACTTTGGTTTGGCTGTGTTCAGCCTAGCTGTTAGCCTGTCAGTCTTGTACTTCATCTCTATCTTCTCAAACAGAAGCTGTTAAGGAAAACAGAGAGTAGAAATTTGTTTACTTTTCACAAGGAGCAAGAACTGTGGATGTACCACAAACTGTCCAGTAGAGGGCGGTGTTACAAAGATTTAGAAAAATAGAAATTTCTTTCAATTATTATTTTTTTTTAAATCTGCAATCTCAAAGCAAATCATTTGTTGTGCTCTTAAAATTCAGCTGTTAGCTGGACGGATGAGAAGAAAAGTTTATGCAATGGTCATTTTCTCTTCAACATATCCCCAAATCTGTCCCAACAAGAAATGCTGCCACCCCAGCAGCAGTTACTGTCGTCCCCTCTGTCTGAGAGACTCATGCTGCTTCATCGGCTCGCTGTTTGCTCCTCTGACTGAAATCAAACACCCACATGACTCAAGTTGTCATTTCCACATATATGTATTATATATTCTGCAGGAATGTGTGTGTTATGTGCACAGCAGCACAATTCAGGTGGAGTCCACCCTGCTGTTAGCATATAAAGGTCAAAGGTCATATTGATTAACCCCCTCAGGTGGAGAATCAATAATTGTGTAAGACAACGAGGAGGAACCGATGGAGAGGAGGCATAAGGAGGCACAGAAATCAAAGAATCTGCAGCACTGAGCTTCTGTAGGGCATTTGTAATGAAATGGGAGGTTAAAAAAGGTCAGCCAATCTTCTCATAGCCCTGCTTCAAAATAGAAATCTTGATATTTGTTTTAGCAAACCAAATGGGCATTTTGGGTCTGGAAAAATGCTGGTTGCAGGAGTAAACAAACCTCTGGAAAGGCGTAAACACAGCTTGGTGAAATTAAAATAAAAACAGGCAACAAAAAAAGAAAGAAACTGGGGAGGGAGTTGGCAACTGAAGAACCTGATTTAACAGGAACTAGAAGGGAGCCAGACCAGAGTTGAGCTTCAGACAACAGGATTTGGAGCCTTATTTCCTGATATTTGGATGTCTCTGCTCTGACTGGCTAACAGCAACACGTCTATGCCGCTAACTCCGTTTGCTTTGCAACATTGATGCTTTATCTTCACAAAGCAAATAAGTCACGCCCATCTACTTCCTGACCATGGGTGCCAAGGAGAACTAAAAAATGAATGCAAGTCAATGGGGCTAAAAACACTATTTTCTTATTCCGTTTGTTATGTGCCACATAAGCAAAACTCATTAGTAAAAACTGGTCTGAGTCCAGATGGACCCTGTTCCAGAGTGATGGTGCATCAGGGTAAGAAGAGAGGTGGATGAAATGATGCACCCATCATGCCTAGTGCCTACTGTACAAGCCTGTGGGGGCAGTGCTATGATCTGGGCTTGCTGCAGATGGTCAGGTCTAGGTTCAGCAACAGGTTGTGCTCCTAGAATGAGGTTAGTTGACTACCTGAATATACTGAATGACCAGATTATTACATCTTCCCTGATGATACAGGCATATTCCAAGATGAAAACTCAGAATCCTGTCGTTTTCCACTCCCCACTGCTCCAGCTAACTTCCTGAACACCAGCTGTTTTCCCCTTTGTAAAAACTCATAAGGTGTTCTTTCATACTTGAGACCTCTGAAACTTTTTTCAAGATGAGTGAATGAGAACTTTTAAATTCAATTCCATTGTTTTGAAAGAGGGGGAAATTGCAGTAAGGAAACCAAATACTAACTGTGATAAATTGAAATATAAAAACAGCTGTGGAAAAAACCCATAGATCCTTGTCCAAAAGGGACCTGAACAATAATTTACTTGACTAGATGACAACATTTGCAGCATGCCAACGACTAGCACAGCTTCAAGCTAGTTTCTTAATCTATGTTGAAATTCCTCTAAAACAAATAAAACCATTCTTTAGTCGATTTGTATTTTTATTTTAACGATAACTCGCACAGTTCAACACTTTTCACCAAATAAAAAGCGAGCATTGAATACAAAGGAAGTCACGCGACGTTGAGCTCAGGGTTTCGGACAAAAACGGAAGTGGCTGTGCGGGACTTCTCTTGCTCCTCTTCGTGTGTGTGTGGTGGTCTTTGCTGGAGGCGGGACTGGTTTAAAAAGGGCGTTTACGCTGTTGTGCGTGAAGCAGGAAAGACGTGTCCGCCTTCGCATCTGGTACGTTTTTTGACCAGCACTGGCCGTTAGTCGGACTGACGTCGCCAGCAGCCTTCTTGTCCATCAATGGCCAATTCAACCTTAAATGCGCGTAAGTTTTGAAGCCTCTTTTTTTATGCGTGGGCTGCTAATATTCTGCTTTTCTTGGTTTATATTTGGATTAACCGACCAGTTAGCATGTTAAACTGGCGTGTGTGCAGTTTAGCTAGGGAGGAGACGGACCGTAGCCTTTAACAGGAGATGCTACAGAAAGAGCGTCCAACTTTGACATTAAAGTTAACAGTGTTCACATACGTCAGCCTTAAGCACGTGCTTCCCTTATGAATAATGGCTAATTTCTAACCCACTGACTTTGTTCTATTTAATTATTAATATATTTAGAAACAAATTTGCCACTCGGAAACTTCCAATTAACTCTTAATTTGAAAATCATCTTACTGGGATTCACTTCCTGCTCGTAGGAAACACTTTTCTTATTAAACTTCCGGCCATAAATATCTTCCCCTGACAAAATTGTCCTGGTTTAGCTGCAGTTTTTAAAAAGTCACACCAAATGTGTTTAATTAACCTTTCTCTGTCTCGAATGGAGTCAGACAAGGCGGTATTATGTCTCCTGTCCTTTTTAACCTGTACCTTGACGAGCTGTCTGTTACTTTGAATGATAGTAAGACTGGATGCTTGGTGGGTGACCGCCTTGTAAATCATTTAATATATGCAGATTACCTAGTCCTCATGTCTCCCTATAGCGCAGGCCTGCAGCAGTGAGCAGTTTGACATCCTGTTTAACCCTAAAAAGAGTGTGGTTATGATTGCTGCTACTAAAGGGGACCTGAAGCTTAATTTTCCATCTTTTAACTTAACAAATCAGGTCCTCGAAGTGGTAAGCAAAGTAAAATACTTGGGGCACATTTTAAGAAGTGACCTATGTGATGACGAGGATATTAAGAGGCCCTCTTTCGTTCCTTTTGTACTCCTCTCTATACAGCCCACTTGTGGTGCAACTATAGTAAGGTAGTAATGAAGAAGCTTCAAGTGGCTTATCAGGATGCTTTTAGAATCCTCATGAAGCTCCCTAGATGGACCTCTGCAAGTCATATGTTTGTTGTGAGTAACATCCCTACTTTTCATGCGCTTCTGAGGCTCTTCATGTATAAATTCATCTGCCGACTGAGTTTGTCAGCTAACGCTGTTGTTAGAGCACTGTCTTCTTTATCTTACAGTGACACGAGGTACTCCTCAGTCCTTTTTAAACATTGGAACAACTGCCTATATGGTTTGTAATTAGAATGTGTTTTTACTTTTATTTTATTCTTGTTATGGACATATCCCATGTCTGAAATAACGTTTGAATGAATGAATGAATAGTCCAAGGAAATAGGCTGATAAATAAAAGTAACATGACTGATAATAAGAGGGAAAAAAACAAAAATAATGACTCTGGTAATGAGAGATCAGTGATTTCCCTTCAACTCCGTCTTTAAAAGCTTAAAGCAGAGCTTTATTTGTTTAGAGCTGGTGTGTTTGTTCTCTTAGACCATGCTCCTACCCTGAATCTGTTTCAGCCCTCAGAAGTCTGTGGCTTTGTGAAAAGCCATGTCTGAATCACTGTCCAGTTAACCCAGTGATCCAGGGTGTGTATTTAGAAACAAAAAAACCCTCTAATTCAATGTGAAGGTGCATTATGTCATCAGCAGTTCAAGTTAGAGGTTCAGTTGCAGCCTGGAGAATGAAAGAATAAAATAACTCATTTTATTTATCTGAAACTTTTGGATTCCTTCATTTTCTGGGATCAAGGAACACTTCTGCTCTAAGCCTACCAATCCAGTTAGAGGAATCCTACATTTGATTAAACCCACAGATTATTTAACACATCTAATGTCACACAAATCCAGCCTTTTACCACTTAAGAAATGACGTTTTAATTAGTGGGTATTTTTAGTTTTCTACTTGCCGTTTGATATTGTCAAGACTGCATAAACATGAAACACACAACAATTAGCACATGAATTTAAATGAATTATAATTTTTTTAAAAACATTTAAGAGTAAGACTACAACAGGATTATAGAAGTGGAAAATGTGTTCTGTAGTTTCTCTGTTTCGATATCAAAACTGAAGTAATGAGAAGAGATTGCAAAAGTTTTCGGAAGTTTGGACAACTCTGTCAGTTTGAGATTTGTAATCGGCAGCAGCTGGTTGCTTACTTTAAAGAAATGCAAATGATAAAAGCTGCTTTATCATATTACTCTTGATTTGTTTAAAGATTAAATTACGTTTATGTTAAACTGAGTCCAAGTGGTACACTATCAAACAGCATAAAGTTTTAAAGATCTCATCCACTGAGAAACCATGTTTTTTATATATATATATATATATTAAATACGATTGGTCAAACTGAGTTGTTTAAAGCAGAAATCTGGAGTTTTATCTCTGTGGGCACCATCTAGTAGCAAAAACGCGTATTGCACCTTAAGCCCCTCTCCTTACTTCATTGACGGCTGGAAGCAACGCCTAATCCGCTTTGCCTTAGACCCTGGATCGCACATATGTTGTACTGCAATTTAAATGAAATCTAATGATGTGTGTTTTGACCACGCCAGCCATGTACTTTGAGATTTATCAGCTTGTAAAAGTTCGTAATTAGCATGACTACATTTTAGACCTCGGCACATCACCACAGAACCTCCTCTCCGGTATTGTAGCACATACTTACCACATGGCCAGATTCATGGTGGTACTTTCCTCCTGAAGGAAGGATTTGAAGTTTACTGAACTTGCAACCATTTTCCCTCTGTTTTTCACCGTGTCTGGTTTGATGACGTCACTTTTGTGATGAGCATTTGTAGTCCTGGACTTATTTTAACACAAAACCTAAAATAACGCCCCCCCCCCCCCCCCCCCCCCACACACACACACACACGCACACATTTGAACGTAAGCATGTTCTTGGTATCAAAATGCATCTTTAAAATTCACGGACATCATATGTGAAATCCATAGAACATAACAAGCAGAGGTAGAAAATAGCGTTTTTTGCCCCATTGACTTGCATTCTTTTTTTTTTATCTTCCGGGGACCCATGGTCCGGAAGTAGATGTAGACAACCCTGATTCATGCTTCTCCGTCAGCTCCAACAGGGAGAGACATGCACGCACGGACGGACATGTTTTGTCCTCATACTTCTCCGTCTCCTGGGGAGTGCTGTAAAGCAATTCCCTGCCAGGACAGCAGATGGCGTAGTGCTGTTTTGTGGTATCCTGTCATGTATCCGGTCCAAGATAGTGTGTTGTGTTTTTTTTGTATATAAGAGACTTATTACCACAGACACATTTGCCTCTCATTCTCCACCTCTTCATGCACTCGCCACCTCTAAACCCACGTTTCCTGTCATTTCCGTCCACAAATAAAACGCTTGCTGCACATCTTTTCACTCCTCCAGTCACGGGGGAATGAAATGTTCATATTTTTAGTTTTTTTTTTTTTGCGAGATGTTCTTCAAGCTTCTCCGTGTTTGCCGCTAGTTATCCTTGGCTCTCTTTATGTTTTTGAGGGTGCAATGGCGGCGGTGTAGCCGACAGCGGTGCCTTCACCAATCACACGCTTGCGTTCTCCGTCTTGACAGACGGATGTTTAGAAAAGAGAGCTCGAATCTGTCCGTCCTTGCGAGGCTCTCTAGCAGGCCCGCAAGGACGGATAATGGCATTGCGTGTCTCCGCACTGACGCAGACACAGAAGATTTATGGAATTAGAATTTATGACATTGCATTTTTATTCTGCGAAGTTATGCATTTGATTTTTTAAACTTAAAATACACCAGCAAAAATCCCATCTGTAAAAATTCAACTGCAGAATTTCAGCTGCAGAAATTCAACTGAGGTGATCTCAAGCTAAAGTAAACATCGGTTGATGTCAGGTGGCTTTTAGCCAATCAAATTACGTCTCACTGATCACATGACACCAGAGAGATGTCGACCAGATTGAGTGACAATTACTTAAGTTTGTGGAGGGGGTGTTGTTTGTTCCGTCACCGTCCGTCGTCCTTAAAAGTATGTGTGTGCTGTGTGACTAGTCTACCGACTCCATTTGCTCCGCAACAATGCTTTATCTCTACAAGTATCATATTATCGTTCCGCTACAATCCGTGACAGCGGAGGAGGGGCATGCGGTTCGTTTGGCTACCGTGCATTGTCCGTAACAGCAGGATGAAGGGTGGACACTTGTCCTGGGGGGGAAGGGGGCATCAGGCTTTATACAGTGCTGGGGGAACCCTGCTTGTGATATATGTAGAGATAAAAAATCATTGTCGCAGAGCAAACTGAGTCAGACGAGTCACATTGATGTTAACCAATTGGGTGCAAGATATTTTCATATCATGAAAATGAAGAGCAAGACTCCAAATCCTGTCATTTTCAGCTCCCTACTACTCAGACTAAAGCCTAATTAATACTTCTCCGTCAGCTTCGCAAAGGATAGATGCACACACATTGACAGATGTTTTGCTCTTGGACTTCTCCATCAGCTGACGATTGTTGCAGAACAATTCCCTGCCAAGACAGCGGAGGGGGCGTAGCGCTATAAGGTATCGAGCCACCATTACAGTCACATATCCGGTATTCATAGTGTATTTACCATTGTGTTTACATTGTTTTAAACTTGCGGTCTCCGTCACTTTCGACGAATAGTTACAAATGGGGGCAAGTCTCCATCACCCTCTGCGAGCCTGTCGGAGAGCCTGTGCGTTGACGGATAATGACGTTGCGTGTCTCTGTCCCGACACAGACGGAGAAGTATACATTGGGCTTAAATTCGACTTTATTAAACGTGAACGCCAGAGTAGATTTTCCTCAGATAACAACTCACAAGGCATCCCTTCATACCAGACCACAGAAACCTAATCGAAAGATGAGTGAATGAAACCGTTTAAATAGAGATTCAAAGAATCCCCTGTTGTACTCAGTGCAAGGTTTTAGTGGAGTTGGTCTGCAAATTACGTGGTCATGGTAACTCGATATACCAATGAAGTAATATACTTCTCGTGATCATCAATTTTGATTCAGTGTGGTTTGTGCACATCCATTTGGGTCACTATGAA